CAGTACACCAAATACACAAAATAATGTTCTTTTTAGCAACATCATATGACCCCTTTAACTTCCGGTCTGTGTTTGTTTATCAGTCTGGCTATGGCGCCGGCTACAAACGCAGTTAAAGTTAAGGTGATGAGTAGACTGAAGTTGGGCTCAGGTGGTTGTGCTGTGGGATGTGTTTCCCATACATTTATTTATTTGTGGCTTGCCACAATATCAAAACTGACGGATTTTCCAAAAGGCTTGGTTGAATAAACATGAGCACGTACTGCACGTTTAAAAATCAAAACGAGGTGTGGGTGTTTTTATATCACTGTATTTCTGAAGGAAGACTATCTTTAGAAAATTTTCTGTCATTTTCATTTCATCTTACATGTTATATGCCTGATAAAGCAGCGTTAGTGAGCTCAGCGCTGCTTTGTGTACAGCGGTTACTGGGGAAACCTGTTTCTCCCGCTTTGAAGCACCTCCTGGCAGAGAATGAATTAGCATTTTCAGTAAGTCCGTCTGATTTACAAGGCAAACATATTTTGCTTTTCCTATATCCACGGGTGCTGGGGATAATCCGCGGGTCGGGTAATAAAAAATGCATTCTGATTATTTGCGGGTGGGTCGCGGGTGGATAACATAAATAATAAATGATGCAAATATTAACTACATTTTTTTTTTAATACATTTTTTTCATGAGGCAGACGATTTCGTGTGTGTGTGTGTGTTTGTTCGCCTGATCGGGAAGTTGTAGTGACAGAAACGGTGACATTCCAGGTAAAGTTTGAAAGGAGTAAAGCCTGTTAATGCTATTGAGTAGGCTAATATATGGCCAAAGAAGATATTTTGTTTCATAAATAAATGTTAATTTAAAAGCAGCCCACAATCAGCGTGTTATGTTACCGTTATCCCTTATGGCTCCGACAAAAATTTGTTCCGTCCTCCACGCTGTGACAACTCACAAAAGACTATTTTTAGCCAAGCAGCGTGGAGAGCCGCTTCAGAAACATGCCGCGGCTGGCTCGTAAACACAAGCACTGACTAGAGTGGCCGCGATCAGCTCCGGTAGCCGTGGAGCCATAACGTGCCGCAGACGTGTGCAGTGAGGCGCAGATCGAGAGCCGCTTCAGAAACGTGCCGCGGTTGGCCGGTATACACAAGCATTAGAGCGGCCGCGATCAGCTCCGGTTCCCGTGGAGCCGTAACGCGCCGCAGACGCGTGCAGTGAGGCGCAGATCAGCTCTAACGTCACTGAATCTGCTGTTAAAAATTAACCATCCATTCATCATATCATCATGCAAAACATACACGACAAATAGCGAATTTTTCATTGTTTCTCGAAAGGTCATTTCCACACCGGTGTGGCGCCAAATCATTTATGTCCCCACGCATCATGTACGTCGTCACGCGTTATGTTTTATTTAAATAGTTTTCTTGTGTTTTTATAATTGTTCTTTTTAGTTTTAATTTATATTTATTTTAGTTTTAATAATTTTAGTATTTCAACTAGTGGTCGACCGATAATGTTTTTTTGACAGCCGATGCCAATATCTTAGAGAGCCGATATAAAGCCGATATATATATAAGTATATTTTTTATTTTAATTATAATTTTTATTTATTTTAATTAATGTTTGAGAAACTTGAAATAATTTGAAAATGAATTATATTAAAAATAAATGTGTAAAATAAACATACTTATACTTTAGATGACAACTTCCTGATTCTATAATTCTATTACAGTATTTTTCACAAATAAAGAAATATTTTAAAATATATAAACAAAAAGAAAGTAAACACTGTAACCAACAGGGCACTCGGTAATCTGGGAAGTTTGTGTGCTTTGGGAATCATATTTTTTCAACTAAAGCCAAGGTAACACTCATTTTACATGCAGCACGCAGTAAAAATGACATGAATATGACAGTGCGCAAATGCATAAATCAGCATAGTTTGAAATAACGAGTTTAAAGTTGATCAGTGCGTCTCCAGTGAAGCTGAACTCTCCTCCTGTCCGGATTCAATTCGCACGGATCGACTGTCACGCAGAGCACACACAATCATGCAGGATACAAATGCACACTTCACAAGATCTCACAGCTGGATTTGACTAAGTCTGCAAGGTTTGTGAAATTAAATGTTCATTAGTAATTTAAAGGTTTGTTTAAATGATATGCGTATTTGCTGAATGCTGACGGCAAACGAGAAAGTATTTTGTCTGCCTTTCTGTTACTAATAATATAAAAGCAATCGTTATAATACTTTTTGTATACCTTTTAAATCATTTGTTCAACAGTTCTATCTGATTATTAGACAGACTTCTATCTGTGTTAGGCAGAACTGTTAAACAACGACAACAAACAATGAAGAGGGAGAATGTGAGCACTGTGTGCTCTGGCGCTGCCGTTCTCAGCGCCGTCAAAATAAAAGTCCCGCCTCGAACACATCGGCCAGGCAGAAAAACTTATCGGCCAATGCCGATATTTGAAAAATGCCAAATATCGGCCGATATATCGGCCTTGGCGATATATCGGTTGACCATTAATTTCAACTTAAATGTAAGGCAATATTTCTAATTTTATTTAATTTTTTAAAAATGTATATTTTATTTCAGCTTCAGTTTAATTATGTAAAATTGTCATTTTAATAGTTTTATTTTCATGTAGCTGTAACAACGCTGCTCTGTTGATCATATTGCTTATAGGATCGTCACCCCTTTCAGCAAGTTAATTTTCCGGGTTTGGAGTCATCAGACACTTAAATCGGACATTTTGCTGGGCATGGCCGCTCTGGAGGTCAGCGAGACCTTAAAAGCCAACAATATGAAGAGTGAGTTTCCATATTCTCCACTTGTGTGAATCTTATTCAGAGTCAGGCCTCTGTAGTGTGTGTTCAGAGCGTTTTGGGTTTTATTGCCTCTTTGTAATGGAGAAAGGCAGGTAAACGGACTCGTAGCACCAAACAAAGAGTATTTTCAGATACTTTACAGATACACTCACAGCTAATGTGAATTACAGAACTGCAGATTGAGTGAATGCAATCTTAAGTGTCACTGTGAGCTTGTTTACCTCGTGAAGTCAATTTAGCTTTCCAGCTCAGCTTCTATGAATATGCTTTAAAAGCGTACATTTATTTAATCAGCTTTCTATTGCTATTCTTGTGGTAAAACATGCTTGCAAACTGCAGTGATGCCTGACATGTGAGCAAATCATTCTTGCGAGTCAGTTCTTTTCAATGAATCTTTTAAATCTATTCATAACTCAGTCAGAATGATTCGTTCATGAAATGTTTTGAAACAAGATGGTTTAAACATTTTTATTCAATATACCCTGGAAATGTCATGGAAATTCATTGATCAATCAGGATGCTGCTTTTACAGGCTGTTAACATTCATCTTTTAGTTCTGTAAGTAGTGTTATTGTAAAGATTGTGTGTGTGTGTCTCAGTCAGTGAGGTGGTGCAGACGCTGCAGTTGAGTTCAGACAGAGAGCGTGCGGAGATGGTTGGAGATCTCTCAGTGTGTCTCGATGGACTGCAGGTGGATCCCGAGACTTTTGCTTCTGAGGAACAAAAGCACAGTTGAGACCTTCTTTATCCCTACAAAACACACTCGGCTTGTTTTCAACAGCAGTTAATAGATTTAGATTCTTTGCTGTTTAAAATAAATATTTCCCACACGTGACATTGTGTATTGTTTCTCTTCAGTCACAGATGCTGTTGTAAATGGAGAATCCAAACTGAACGGGGATGTAGCAGGAAGGTAAAATAAAAATTGCTATGCTATTTCTGAGGGAATGCTACCATAATATGTGTAGAAAAAGAGCTTGAATCTTTCTTCTTTACTTTTGTTTGTGTTCTTAGTGAAATTAGTTCTCCAGGGAAATATGTTGACTGCCTACTCTGACGTTTTATAGATCATAATGCATAGTTTATTGATACATAAAAGCCTTTTTATTTTATCTGCTGTTATATATTCTCATAATTTTTATTTACTTTTAAAATAAAAGTAAAAATAAAAAATGTTATGCATAAAAGTTATGGCCAGATTATTAAATGTTAGCAGTTGAATTGTGGAGACATAAAACAAGAATGTTGTAGATTTAATTTTTTAAAAAATCTTTCTATTTAGATTTAATTTTAATTTCGGTAATTTTATGTCAGCTGCTGTTATTGAATATTAGTTGTTAGCATTTAAATTTCTATTTAACTGTAATTTATTTTATTTCAGTTTAATTCAGTTTTAATAAGACGCATTACAAATTATGGCCAGATTATTGAATGTTAGCAGATTAATTGTGGAATATAAAACTTCTATGTCATGCACATAAAACAGCAGTGTTGTAGATGTTAAAAATTACGTATTTTTTAAAAACATTATTTTTGTTTGTAGCTTTAAATTGTTTTTTTATTTCAGTTTAATGCAGTTTCAAAATAAAAAGTATAAAAAATGATGGCCAGATTACTGAATATTAATAGCTGAATTATGGAATATAAAAATGATTTGTCATGCACAAATAGCAGGAATGTTTTTGTAAAATTATTTATTTAGCTGTAATTCATTCTTATTTAAATTTCCTTCATTTTAATTGAATGCATAAAAATTATGGCCAGATTTTTGAATGTTAGCAGTTCAATTATGGAATATAAAGCTTATATGTCATCATGCACAGAAAACAGACATTTTCTTGATGTTAAAAAATCTGTATATTTTTAGCTATCACCAATCACCTGGACGTTTGTGTCTGTTTGCTGTTGGTCTAGTCGACATTCTTCCCCATCCAGTGACATCGCTGATGAAGCACCGCTGCCCAACGGTCATGCAGTGGAAAATACGGTGTCTGCCTCTCCATCCGCAGGGGCCCTGAGGCCACCTCGACCCCAGCGGCCGCCACCCGCCTCACCGCATAAACCTATTTCCTCCACAGGTAGGAACATTACCAGAGGACTCACATCCTGCATTTTCATAGCATTTGAGTTTGGATTTAAGGCTTCTTTGGCTGCATTTACACTGCAAGTCTTAACGCACAGATCCGATCTTTTGACCATATCCAATTATTTGGTCCGCCTGTTTACAGTAGGGGTGGGACAAATATCGATATGGCGATATATCATTGTCCTTCTCCATGCGATACGAGAATCGATATCTGGCGCCAAATATCGATATTTTACTACAATACAATACTACAATATATTACTACAATAAGGCACTCTATATACATTTCCCTGCTCCCAGCATCTAAAAAATGCGTGGAAATCGTGGCCGCATCATTTCCACCTTCTTTCCAAAGCGCTCTGAGCAACCATGAACGTGTTCTCTATGAAGATGGGGAAGCACGAGGAACCGAAGGATAAACAGATTTCCAGCCACTGTATTAGCTCTACTGCTATATATATGTTTATGGAGATGAGAACTAAAAAACTGCCCCGGAACAGCTATCAGCGTGGACTTTAGGCATCGATCACATTATTATTGCAGAGCACATATCGAGTCCGTGAGTAGCCTAACCTCTCCGCTCGGATCTCAGGTGGATTTCCCTCAGTATTTGAGTGAGAGAGAGTGCCCCGGGGCATCCAGTTTTATGTCAACAAAACTGGATGCTCTCCCTCTCTCCCAGGTATTGCAAGTGCGCGTTACGCAGTGTGGGCAGTGGGCACCGAACGGCAGAAACATAAATCTGCACCTATGGCATGGACGACGAAACAGAACCTCGTCAGAGCCGTAATGCGGCACAGAAGTGTGCAGTGTGTGTGCTTGCCGCGCGTCTACATTTGAAATAACGAACCTGAGCGCGCAAAAGACACGATGTGAATGGCTTTTTTCCTCCCTGCATGTCATGTGTGCGGGGCTCCGTTTTTATGATGAGAGGAGAGGAAAGGTTGAGAAAGCACTCCAGGTAAATTTTGAAATGTACCAGGTTTATATATAGGCTATATATAAAGTTGATAAGCAGTTAAATGTGTTGGTTTACACACAAAGAAAAGTGTAAGCTTTTAGTAAGTCCAAGAATAAAATGATTAATTTCCTTAGCATGTTAAATTTGATTTACAGAACTTTTGTGTTGTTTTCTAACAGTTTGGACTTGAATAAAGAGAGAAAACTTGCACTTAACCTTTTCACAGGCATTTTGTTTTCATAGTTATCATGATGTATCATTATAGAATTGTCTAGCAATATATCGATTTGCAGAATCACTGTATCGTGACATCGTATCGTGAGCCATGTATCGTAATTCGTATCGTATCGTGAGGTACCCTGCGATTCCCACCCCTAGTTTACAGTAGGGCTGCAAATAAAAATTTGAATTTCCAATATTCATAGAATTAAAAAATATATATAAAAATCCACATTCGAATGCAAAAACGTTGCATTGGAATGTTAGGTGTGTGTCAGACAGCCTTATCAGTGGCGCATGAAATGCGATGACGATGTATATGTCATTGCTTTTTAATGTTTTTGTCAGCCTATCCAGTTGAACCCACTAGATGCGGCGATGCTGTGTTGTTCATTCAAAATATTGTGGAAAAAGAGAACATCATTGCGGAGAAGATCTTGTTTAGGTCAAAACCGAAACCAAGCTGTTCACACAGAACGCATATTTTGCACATTTTCTAGAGGGACGTCTATCAGCGTTGCACTCATGTCTCGCACAAGAGAGCCATATGTTTAGAAAGCATGTAAAATGTCAAATTAAAGTAAGTTCAACTTTTAAAAAAGCATGTCCTTGGACTTTATGATGGGATTTTTTTCCCATCCCACTGCATCTCATGCTTTTAAATGAAAAAAGTACTCTGTGTGATAGGCTTTTGTCCCTTTTTATTAAACTATGCATACATGATGCTGTTTTGTTTATTTTGTTTATAGCAACTTAATTATATTTGGTTTATAAACATTGTGCACTTTTTCACAGATAGTCATGTTAGTCATGTTATTTAATAAGTGTGCATTAGTAATATTTGGTATTAGTAATATTACTAATATTAATACTTCCTTCTCAATACGAGCGCATACAGCAAGCCGGCATTAAAACGCTATCTTTATGGGCAAACGTGCCGCCCTCGCATTGGGAGTTCTGCAGGGAATTGGATATGTGTGTTTACACGTAGTTCGGATGTCCAGATATCGGATATTGAAATCCACATTTGGAAGTGGCCCAGATCCGATACAAAAAAATCAGATCTCGTGTGGATTTTTGTGTTTACACGTGCAACCAATTCCGATCTGTGTCAGATATTGCAAGGCAAGGCATTTTGTGCCAGTGTAAATGCAGCCTTTAAGGCAAAGTTGCCTGCATTGTTTTTTAGCGTCCTCTGCTGGCTCGACTCCCACTCACGGCAGCAGCGCTCCCAGCCCAGAAACATCTCCACGGGTGTGTGAGAACGGAGAAACAGAGAGTCAGGGGTCAAGCTCAGGTTCAGGGTCAAACCAGGCCCCGAGGGCCAGTACAACGCCACCCAGAGCTTCACTGATCAGTAACGGCCCTCTTCCTCCTGGGTACGTCATACAATTACAGTGAAGGAAAATTACAAGCAAGTCAATGCAATCAAAAACATCTTGATGCTGCTAAATGTCAGGATGACTGAGTGAAAATGAAGACACTATTTAATAGCAAGCCTGTATGGATTTAGTCTGATATCTTTTCTTTTTGTTTCTTGGTTAATATGTGTAGCTGGGAGCAGAGAGTGGATCAGAACGGCCACGTTTACTACGTGGATCACATTGAGAAAAGAACCACATGGGAAAGACCAGAACCGCTACCAGCAGGGTAACCATGCTGTCTTCTTTAGAGATCACTTTATAGTTTTACAGATTCATCAATTCGCTGCTTACATATGTTTTTATTGTGTATTTACCTACTGACGTTAGACAAGCTCCCAGACATTCGTTTTAAAACAGCATCTGTTGATATAGCATTTAAGAGGACTTTGGATTCATATATTTAAAGCCTGTTTAGTTTTTGTACTTTTATTGATATTTATTTTTAAATGCCCGTATCGTGAGGTACCCTGCGATTCCCACCCCTAGTTTACAGTAGGGCTGCAAATAAAAATTTGAATTTCCAATATTCATAGAATTAAAAAATATATATAAAAATCCACATTCGAATGCAAAAACGTTGCATTGGAATGTTAGGTGTGTGTCAGACAGCCTTATCAGTGGCGCATGAAATGCGATGACGATGTATATGTCATTGCTTTTTAATGTTTTTGTCAGCCTATCCAGTTGAACCCACTAGATGCGGCGATGCTGTGTTGTTCATTCAAAATATTGTGGAAAAAGAGAACATCATTGCGGAGAAGATCTTGTTTAGGTCAAAACCGAAACCAAGCTGTTCACACAGAACGCATATTTTGCACATTTTCTAGAGGGACGTCTATCAGCGTTGCACTCATGTCTCGCACAAGAGAGCCATATGTTTAGAAAGCATGTAAAATGTCAAATTAAAGTAAGTTCAACTTTTAAAAAAGCATGTCCTTGGACTTTATGATGGGATTTTTTTCCCATCCCACTGCATCTCATGCTTTTAAATGAAAAAAGTACTCTGTGTGATAGGCTTTTGTCCCTTTTTATTAAACTATGCATACATGATGCTGTTTTGTTTATAATTGTTTAAGCAACTTAATTATATTTGGTTTATAAACATTGTGCACTTTTTCACAGATAGTCATGTTATTTAATCGCTTTAATAAGTGTGCATTAGTAATATTTGGTATTAGTAATATTACTAATATTAATACTTCCTTCTCAATACGAGCGCATACAGCAAGCCGGCATTAAAACGCTATCTTTATGGGCAAACGTGCCGCCCTCGCATTGGGAGTTCTGCAGGGAATTGGATATGTGTGTTTACACGTAGTTCGGATGTCCAGATATCGGATATTGAAATCCACATTTGGAAGTGGCCCAGATCCGATACAAAAAAATCAGATCTCGTGTGGATTTTTGTGTTTACACGTGCAACCAATTCCGATCTGTGTCAGATATTGCAAGGCAAGGCATTTTGTGCCAGTGTAAATGCAGCCTTTAAGGCAAAGTTGCCTGCATTGTTTTTTAGCGTCCTCTGCTGGCTCGACTCCCACTCACGGCAGCAGCGCTCCCAGCCCAGAAACATCTCCACGGGTGTGTGAGAACGGAGAAACAGAGAGTCAGGGGTCAAGCTCAGGTTCAGGGTCAAACCAGGCCCCGAGGGCCAGTACAACGCCACCCAGAGCTTCACTGATCAGTAACGGCCCTCTTCCTCCTGGGTACGTCATACAATTACAGTGAAGGAAAATTACAAGCAAGTCAATGCAATCAAAAACATCTTGATGCTGCTAAATGTCAGGATGACTGAGTGAAAATGAAGACACTATTTAATAGCAAGCCTGTATGGATTTAGTCTGATATCTTTTCTTTTTGTTTCTTGGTTAATATGTGTAGCTGGGAGCAGAGAGTGGATCAGAACGGCCACGTTTACTACGTGGATCACATTGAGAAAAGAACCACATGGGAAAGACCAGAACCGCTACCAGCAGGGTAACCATGCTGTCTTCTTTAGAGATCACTTTATAGTTTTACAGATTCATCAATTCGCTGCTTACATATGTTTTTATTGTGTATTTACCTACTGACGTTAGACAAGCTCCCAGACATTCGTTTTAAAACAGCATCTGTTGATATAGCATTTAAGAGGACTTTGGATTCATATATTTAAAGCCTGTTTAGTTTTTGTACTTTTATTGATATTTATTTTTAAATGCCATGTTTTTATTGTTTTTATTCTTTTTTTAAAGGTTTATGTTTTCTGACCTGTGACCTTTTAGCTGAATTTTATGTATGAAAGTAACAATAAAATAATTATTTGTGTTTAAAATAATAATAATAATGATGATAACAATTATTGTTGTTGTTGTTTTGCTATCAGCAATCATCATCAAAAATGATCATTGTTAATTTTGAATTAATAGGAAATAATAATATTAAGAATAACAATGACACATATTTTTATATAATGACACATTAGTATTATTATTATTATTAAGTGGGGTTTTTTATTCTCCGACATGTGACCACTGACCTTTTAGATAAAATTGGTATGAAAAAGAAATGCTAAACAGTTATAATTATACTGAAATAGTAATAATAATTATATAATAATCATAATTGTTATTGTTGTTGTTGTTGTCATCAATTATCTTCAAAAAATATTTCATTTTTAAATACTACTACTACTAATAATTACAATAATAAGTGTTATTATTATGATGATGATGATGATTATTATTATTGTTATTTAAAAAGGTATTGTAAATGTAAAAATTGCGGGTGAATAAAACCCAAGGTCAGAAAGTGTCCTTGATGAGCAGTTGTTTGGAGAATCTTGTGTGTGTTTTGTGGTAGCTGGGAGCGTCGTTTGGACCCGATGGGCCGTGTGTACTACGTGGATCATATAAACAGAACCACCACATGGCAGAGACCCACACTCGAGTCGGTCCGAAACTACGAGGAGTGGCAGAACCAGCGTAGTCAGCTGCAAGGAGCCATGCAGCGCTTCAACCAGAGATTCATCTACGGAGTGAGTGAATTCATCAGGCCTGTCACGATAACAACTTTTTGTTGTGCGATATATTGCCCCAGAAATAATTGCAATAGGCGATATTATTGTCATTTTAAGCCTCTACATCGAGCCTCTATATTTCTCTAATATTTTGAATGAATAACGCAGCAACTGCGCATCTCGTGGGCAAGACTAACAAAACATTACAATGCAACAACGTCACTTACATCATTATCACCGCATCTCGTGCACCACTGATGACGCTCCCTGACCCACTCCTAACATTCAAATGCAAATGTTTATTTTAAATTCGACTAATATTAATTTTTTTATTCACAAGCTCCTCATCACAGGCAGGTACAGCACTCAATTCAGCATGTGTTCGTGTTTGTGTGTGCGGTCTGCGTCACTCAGAGCACGTGCCTATATCGTGCACTATATCGAACATTTTGTATATCGTTATCGAAGAAGGTGTACCGTCGATAAATATCGATACCGTTTTATCGCCCAGGCCTAGGCATATACTAGGCATGTACATATATTGCGTAATAAGTCGATATATTGATTATTGCGACAGGCCTACATAAAAGAGAAAGATCAGTCAGCCAGTCAGACTCTTTTCAAGGGATTTTAAATGATTTTTAAATAACCCGAGCTGTCCTTGCTCTTCTCTTCAGCTGCAGGAACAGCTCGCGCCCACAGCTAATAAAGAGTTTGACCCTCTGGGTCCTCTGCCGCCGGGATGGGGTGAGTCACCGCTCTATCATTTAATGCGGCATACCCTCGTAATAGAGCAGGTCACGCTGTCTTTTCTTGAACCTGTGTGTGTCTGCTGGTGTGGCCCACAGAGAAACGGACAGACAGTAATAGGAGGATGTATTTTGTTCACCATCCTACGAGATCCACACAGTGGGAAGACCCTCGAACACAAGGGTGCGACGCAATCACAAACTATCCACTGCCAGTGTTATTTTATTAATTATTTATACACTTTTTTTTATACGCAGCTTTTTAAATATTTTATATTTTCTTTTTTTTTCTTTTTTTTTACTTTTGTCGTTTTTGTTAGGTTTTTTTTTTCATTTCTATTTTAGTTGTATATATATATATTTTTTTTTAATTTAAGTAAAATTTTTGTAATTTTATGCACTTGTTCGGGATATTTTTTAGTTTTCATTTATTTCCATTTAGTATTTTTTAGTTAATTTCCAAAGCAACATTTCTCATTTTTGTTCAGTTTTTCATCTAATATTTATATTTTCTTTTATTTCAGCTTCATTTTAAATAACAAAATATCTTTTAATACTTTTAGTTCGCTATAATAACCCTAAATTGTCTCCTTACTATATGAATATTATTTTTTAATCATGTTAGACGTAACAGAATGAAATGACATGCAATATTATGTTTGTTGAAATGAGCTGTTTTTGTGTGTCAGGTTGTTGAATGAGAAGCCTTTGCCGGAGAGTTGGGAGATGAGGTTCACAGTGGACGGGATTCCCTATTTTGTCGATCACAACAGGAGAACAACGACATACATCGATCCCCGTACAGGAAAATCCTCCCTGTCAGTCCTTTTAATAGCTTGATATATAAAGAGAAGGTCTTTTGTGACATTCTCAGATGCATACATTCAAAATGCCATACGTAAACAGAAATAGAAATACTTCACATAAGTTTACTGCAGGGCTTGTTTTAAATAATATTGTGTATTAATGTTTTACAGTTGTCTGTTTCTGTCTTTTTGAACCTGCAGTGAGAACGGCCCTCAGATCACATACGTACGAGACTTTAAAGCCAAAGTGCACTATTTCCGCTTCTGGTGTCAGGTAGGACCTCACATACAAGTGGCATTAATTAAAAATGCTTTTTTTTTTTAGTTGCTTTGACACTATTTTCATTAATCTTCAGAACTCCACAAAACTGATCAAGCTTTTGTTAAAAAAACTGGCTATTGTTCTTTCATTACGCTTGTAAGTGATTAATTTTTACAGAGTCAGTGTTTAAATCTTCATTGTTTGAAGTTTTAATCAGCAAAACACAACAGAATAAATCTAGTCATTTTAATGGCTGTTAATTAACTTTTATTTTTTTCATGTTTAAAAATTTGATTTTTTTAAAAATTCAGGTATTATATATAATTAATAATCATAATGATTAACAACAATGGTTTGATAATTAATATACAATCATTAATTTTAGTATAATTAATCAGTTATAATAAATGACACATCATTAATTATGCAAAATGGTTTTTAGGTGCGATAAAAGGGATTTTGTTTTGACGGTATGCATAAGCATTTGAAGAAAAAAAAGTATTTATTTGAGCTGTGCTTAGAGATGAGTAACGTAAAAGGCTTATGAAAATAGTACCAAAGCAAACAAAAAGGTTTTTGCATGTGTGATTTATTTTGTAATAAAATCCGTTTTTAATACCAAAGCAACTAGCAATGCCTCAGCACATTAAGATCCACGTCAGCCGCAAAACACTGTTCGAGGACTCGTTTCAGCAGGTAAATTTGACAAGTTAATTCTGCTTTATTTGTGTAGTTGTGGCATGCAGACAGAAGTTAAATGCTTGTGAATTGATTTGTTTAGATTATGAGTTGCCATCCGCAAGATCTGAGACGGAGACTGTGGGTTATTTTCCCAGGGGAGGAGGGACTTGACTATGGAGGCGTGGCCAGGTATATTGCATCATTTACAGGAAGTGATGAGTTTAGTTGCTATATGCACACACACACACACACACACACACACACACACAATAATGTTGTGTTTCTGTCATAGGGAATGGTTCTTCCTGCTGTCTCACGAGGTCTTGAACCCCATGTACTGTCTGTTCGAGTATGCCGGCAAAGACAACTACTGCCTGCAGATTAACCCCGCCTCCTTCATCAACCCTGACCACCTCAAATACTTCAAGTTCATTGGCCGGTTCATCGCTATGGTACGACAGACCTGGACAGTGGAGACACACTAAAGAATCTTCGTTTGAAATGCATTGAGCTTTTTCTGTTCTCTCTCACACAGGCTCTGTTTCATGGGAAGTTCATAGACACGGGCTTCTCTTTGCCTTTTTATAAGCGCATCCTGAACAAACCTCTGGCTCTGAAAGACCTGGAGTCCATCGACCCGGAGTTTTACAACTCGCTCATCTGGATCAAGTGAGAATGAGTTACAGAGATAATAAGAGACAATAGTGAGGGCTTGGGCATTAAAAGTGTGATAATTGGGGATATGAATTACTAGGAAATTAAGAATCATTATTGGTCCTAACTATGAAATGTTTTTCCATAGGGATAATAACATAGAGGAATGTGGCTTGGAGATGTATTTCTCGGTGGATAAGGAGATTTTGGGAGAAGTCACCACACATGAACTCAAACCTGATGGAGGAAACATTCAGGTGACAGAGGAAAATAAAGAGGAGTATATCAGGTAAAAAAATCTCACTTATACAGCACAGATAAATTACAGACAATGTTTTTCATTTCAAATAACATTTAGAATTATTATGTCTATAATTATATATTAAATATTAAAAAAATATGAATATGTATTATACACATTTTTAATTATAAATTAGTTATAAATAGTATACATAATATATATATATATATTATATTATAATAATTTAAAATATTTTGTAGATTTACAAAGTTAGCTGCTTTATATATATATAATTACTTTTATTACATATAATAATGACATTATATAATATATAATTATTATTTATATAATTATATATTAAATATGAAAAAATGTATATGTATTATAAATA